TATTACAAGAAGACACTTCATTGCTCGCCCATTTCTACTCCGCAGCTTACCAACATGGAAGCCACGGTATGCAGGCTAGCTATGACTGGACATCAGTCCATCCTCATAGCCTCCTGTTACATCCCTTCAGGAACCTATCCCCTCAAAAAAGATTTGAGGCCATTTTATCTTTAGGCAATTCAGTCATTATGTTTGGAGATTTTAACTCCAAACATACTGAATGGACACGCCGCACTACGTCCCCTAGTGGCAAGATACTGTTCGATATCACGCAGTCTCTTGATATTACCGTCCATAGTCCTCTCGGTGTTACTCACTTTCCCGATAACACCGATCACGCCCCCCTATGTGTTAGATTTTGCGTTACTCCAAGGAGTTTCTCTCAATCTCAGAGCAATCGAGACACTAGACGATCTAGGATCAGATCACCGACCGGTCTCCCTCATTCTTGGCCATCAGCCACCTCCCCCAACACACACGAAAACCTTCACTAACTGGAAGGGATTCAAGGAGTCCCTAGCTAAAGCTCTGGACTCACAGGACTCTACCATCTCCCTACCGTCGGACTTAGATAGTCCTGAAAAAATCGACACCCTTATTTAAAGCCTCCCTTAAGGAGAACGAAAGGGTCGTCCCGGTTGCTAACAATAGTGGGCTTCCCCTACATATTAGCAACCTATTAAAAGCCAAAAAAGCTGCTTTCCGGAGAGCAGCAAAATATCCCACCCCCCGAATATAGGCGCGCGGCCAATCGTCTTCAACGAGAACTCCGTTTCCGCCTCTCTGAATTTCGAGACCTCGAAAAGAGTAAGCTCATGGAGAATATTTCTCCATCTCACACAGAGTACTATCAAATGGCTAGAGCCCTCCGCATAGACGCTATCACCCACACTCCCCCTCTCTCCCGTCCCGACGGCACGGTTGCCTTCGAGGACGAGGAAAAGGCTGAGTGCTTTGCAGATAGCATTGCCGCTCAATGCTCTCCTAGTTCTCAACCCGTCGACCCCTCTCATGTCCAGGCAGTGGAGGATGAGGTCCGCCGCAGGAACTCACCCCCTACGGTCTCCGAACCTATCTCTGTGTCCAATGATGAGATTTCATCCCTCATCAAAGGACTTAAGCCGAAAAAGGCTCCGGGCGCGGATGGCATTTCCAACCAAGCCCTAAAACACGTTCCTGAGCAGGTGTTAACCTTTTTATCTATTATCTTCAACGCCTGCTTCAACCTCAGTTATTTCCCCACTACGTGGAAAGAGGCTACTGTAATTGGAATTCCCAAGCCAGGCAAGCCTCTCAACCTCCCCCTCCAGCCATCGCCCCATTAGCCTCCTCAAGGCGTATGAGGCGCTATCTGTTTCCCACAGACGGCGACCCTCTTATCATTCCCCATCAATTCAGTTTCCGAGCCAAACACTCATGTCCCCAACAAGTTCACCGCATTGTGGAATATATCCTCAGCGGTTTCTATCCTCGTCGTCATAAGACCATCGTGGTCTTTTTCGACATAGCTAAAGCTTTCGATAGAGTCTGGCACACAGGCCTCATCTACAAGCTCTACAAAATAGGTCTCCCCGATCGTCTAGTTCGTCTCGTGGCCTCCTATTTAAAACATCGTACCTTTCGTTTTAGACACGAAGGCACGCTTTCTTCACAGCGAACTATCAAGGCTGGCGTCCCTCAGGGCTCAGTACTTGCTCCTCTGCTGTACATCCTGTTCACCAACGACATTCCCATCCCGTCGAAAGGTGTTCAACTCTCCCTCTTCGCAGATGACACTGCCATCTACTGCAAAGGTGTCTCACTACCCTTCATACGGAACAAGATCCAAAAGTCAGTTGATGACCTAGGAGCTTGGTTCAAAAAATGGCGCATCGATGTGAACCCGGAGAAGAGCTCCGCGGTTCACTTCGATTATAAACGACGCCGTCTCAAAAACACTCCACCAATACGTATGCTAGGGACCCCTGTCCCCTGGCATACGTCCGCCAAATATTTAGGTGTCACTCTAGACACAAGGCTCACTTTCAGGCCCCACGTCAAAAGAGTAACCCGTCACGCACGATTTTATCTGAGTAGGCTCAACAGTATGTTGGGTCGACACAGTAAAATGTCCCTTCGAAACAAGCGTACCCTTTACAAGGTCTGTATACGACCAGTCATGTCCTACGCGGGCCCCGTCTTTGCCCACGCAAACCCTAATATTTTAAATGAACTCCAAATAGTTCATAACCTCTTCTGTCGTCGAGCTGCGAACGCACCGTGGTACGTCCGTAATGCCGACCTTCATCGGGACTTAGAGCTCTCAACAATTCAACAATTTTTTAAAAAACTCTCTGAGAACTTCTTCAAATCCTCAGAGTCGCACCCAAACCATTTAATTCGTGAGGCAGCTTCTTATGCAGCCCCACCCCCCTCTCGCTATCGTGTCCACAGGCCGAGAAACTCTCTCTCGGACCAGCCTAATAAACTGTCAAACGACCTGAACTGTCTCCTGGCGGCTCAGGCCAACTCTAATTAAATTAAATTATTGTAATAACTAACATTAATTTGCCTTCGTAGGCACTCCCTCAGCGGCACTTATCCGCCTGCGCCCTCTTTTCCCAAAAGAGGGTCGCTCATGATAAGGCACAATACAGCTTAATCAGCCGGTTGCCTGTCCCCAAAGGCGGTTTTTAGAGGGTATCACTTAGGGTCCCCGGTAGGACAGTGAGCCCCTCATAACCACGATAGACCGGCTATCGTGGTATGCGTAATGCATTTTCCGCCTCCCTGCGTATAGGGTAGCCCTTTAATTGCTTCGGGCGCAAAAAAAAAACAATAAAGGGAGTCTTGCTTCAGCTTTCATACTAGAAGCATCTCCTAAAGGCCTTATCCGCACTACCCCGGGATCCTGCAAGCCTCTGCCTTCACCTGAAGTCGTCGCCTAGCCACGCCTACGCCTCCACCTACTAGTGCCCGCGCTATCTTTAGCCACTGTGCGTGCTTGCCTCAAGCGCTGCGTGTGCCTACTGCGGGCGCTGCGTGTGCCTACTAAGAGCGCTGTGTATGCCTACTCCAGACGCTGCGTGTACCTACTCCAGACGCTGTGTGTGCCTAGTCCGGGCACTGTGTGTGCCTACTTCAAGCGCTGCGTGTGCCTACTCCAGACGCTGCGTGTGCCTAGATCAGGCGCTGCGCACCTACCACAGGCATAGCCTGTGCATACTACGTTTCAGTACTCATTTATCTTTGTTATTTTTTTTTAATTATTGTAATTCACGTCACCCATCATCATTTTCATATATTTTTTATATAAAAACTGTAAATATCTTTTAAAATTTTAAATAAATTATTTTTTTTGGTTGTTTCGTTGTTGTTAGGTTAGGTTCTTTAGTTTTTAACTGTCGCTTTACGACATTCACCCCTGAGGACTAAGATGGAATAACTCGTTTGCAGTAAAAATGGTCTCCGGTTCTCTACACTCACCATACGAAACACAACAGCATGAGGCTGTTATTTTACGCTGGTATCCTGCGGGAGCGTGGTCCTACCCCGATCGAGCTGACCCATTCGTACCACAACCAAAACATAGCTACAACGTGGCTCTACCCCGTATAACAACCTGCTTGCCAAGCATAGTGATAATGGCAAGATTACCCTAGGAGGCCCTTACAAACAGTGAACTTTTATAGGCCACATTTATTTAAGCCAGTGCTTCACTACTATCCTACCGAATATGAAGTGGTGATGTAGCCAAAAATGGTATATAAATAACAACGACTACACAGCGCGAATAGACGCCTAATGTAGGTACTTCTGCATCCAAACCTATCTGTTAAAAGTCTGAGGTAAGCGGTACGGGGGAGGCGGGTTGAAATGCACGCTAATTGGTTAAAATCAAGGTTGCGACACTTGCTAATAAGCAAATAGTGATGGGAACTTTAACTAATAAATTTGGTACCAAGTCTACTTAATCAGTACCAGAATTATATTCTACTATAAATTAGTACAAAATTAACAAAAGAAGTTTTATTAAAGTAGGTATCGTATTTAGTAAAATATGAATAATTTTTTGTTTTGAAGAATATTTTTTATTAAAACAAGCTTTCTTTACAATATTGAAATAATGATAGAATACTATTAAAAGTAAAATAGCAATTGTTATTTAAACTGTCAAATTCACTTCCATTTCCTACTTGTCTTGACATGGTATTTTAGCAGTAAAGAGAGCGGAGTGCCGTCTACTAAAAATTATATCAATTTTATTATGATTTTTTTAAGAAGTTTTGAATAATTTGATTTAATTATTAAATCAATTAATTAAAATATGGATTAACGTACATTCACTGAAAAAATTCAGCTTACACCTATGTCGCTTATAGTATAAGTCTGTGAAACATTCACGATAACATACATAATATTTACTTGTACTAATATTATAGTTTAACTGGTACAGCACTAGTTACACGTGCCGGTAATTAAAGAAAAGTATAGCAACAATGAACTGCATTGAAAAGAAAGGGATGCATAGTCCGAAAATATCCGAAGATGTCCGAATAAATCAACGCGAGTGTCTTATGACAAATATAGGTTGAGCTCTGATTTAATTTTAATTAATGAATTTGGAAATTAAATTTCACTTATCTGTGAACAATGGCGCCATTTTTTTGCAATTACACATTTGGCTACTATTTTATTGTACAGGGAATCATGTTGCGCGTCTGTTGTATTTTATTTTGTCGAAAATTCACGAGTCACATGCAAGATGTTCACGGGTCAGGGAAGTGGTCGCTACTAAAGTAGATCGTGCGATAGTTTTCTCAAGTAAGACGTATTTGTCTAACGTGTTGACAGAAAGTGGTTGCCTTGCATGAAGCGTCTATTCTGGCTGTGTAGTTGTTGATAAATAATTATATATCTTAAAAGATGGACAAACGGATTCTTTAAAATCTGGTGGTTTTAAGGAATCCATAGCTATTTTTTTTTATAAATCTCGAAAGAAATAAATAAATTGTCTTTACCAAATCCAGTACGTCAGCTAATGGTGCTCCGCCTACTTGCACCTGAATGTGCAATCCAGTGGTTTTGGCAGCTTTCACCCAAGCGTCCACAACCTTTTTTCTGTCCGCAACCTTCAGGGACATGTGCTCCCCCGTTGTTCCTCCCACTTCGAAAGTAATGAAATTTTAACGTTCCCTTGCTAATATTTTTGTGTTACAACTAAGGTAAAGCAGTTATAGATCGGCTCGACTGGAAAAGTGCCAGTTTCGCGCAGAATATCAGTATAATACAGCAGAATAATACTGCTGTGTTTCATATGGTGGACGACAAGAAACGCAGACCTCATTGGTGTATTGATTTTTAATCAAAGATTGATGTATATGTGTACGGGTCAGCGCATCCACTTACAATCAGGTAGACTGTGTTCGTATGCCACCTTACTTCTAATAATAAAAATAAAATTTGATAAGTACATTATATTTCTAAAACCATCTAATTGAAATGATTTGGTTGGTCAGCTGAACGCTTGCTGCAAAATGAAAACCACTACGTTTCCGAGTGAGGTTGATATTTGGAAAAAAAAATATCTTTTACATCTCTTAAGAGCACCTAATTTTTAAACATGGCACTTAATTAGCATCTAAAAAAGACCCTAAAGGCTTTTTCTAAATGCATATTCCTGACTGCGTTGAATTTTGAAGACCTGATATTTTTTGCATCTGATTTGTTCTGAATAAGGTTTCTTATTCAGAACTACTATTCTTATTAGGGTCGCCTTGTTTATCGTATATCTTTTATCGTCAGCCAGCAATGTAAATTTAAACAGTTCATTGCGGTGAAAATGTTAGAGCACCTAGTTTTAGTTAAAGTTACAGCCTATAGACATCCCACTGTTGGGCACAGGCTTCCTCTCATTGAGAGGGTTTTAGGACAAGGAAATGTCGGTCACACTGTCCCAATGCGTGTTGGCGAACTTTACATGTCTTCGAAATATTTTTACCTCATTTCTTAGACATTCAGGTTTCCGCGCGTGGTAAATTAGCACTTACAATTGCAAATAACAATTTTATTGATGTCGGTGGGGATCGAAATCGGGTTGCTCGCATACTGTTTAATGTAATAAGTTACTTATATATATATATATATATATATATATATATATATATATATATATATATATATATATATATATATATATATATATACAGCGAGCGCTTAGCCTTTGTGCTATAACGATTCACATCTCTTAACCATAATAAAATGTGCAAAATGTGCACATATTAAAATTGACACAGGTCTTATAGGAAAGATTTTTTTTTTAAATTTTAAAGTAATGATTTTTCTTACCAAGAACTGATTTAATTCCAGCCTTTGAGAGGTAGTCAGCGTAAGCAGGAATTACTTCATAATTAATTGTATAGTCATCATTTAGTGGTGTGAAAACGGGAGGCATTAAACCACGAGCTTTGAAGACGACCTGTATAAATGACTATTAACATTATACCCATCAGAAACTTAATTTAAAATATAATATACTTCTTAAAACATAACCTTATTTCATATTTTATTATCATAATTTGACGTAAACACAGACATAAAATTTCGAGACAATAAATTTTTATCATCACTATTTGTACATTGAAAAATGCTGTAAGTATGTAATGCACTAGAAACGGCGCTATTATTTTTGTTATAAACAATTGAAATTAATATCTCACAAACGCAAAAACATAATATAATAAAGTGTAAAGTTTCTTACCATTTTTGTTTATCTTATTAGAATAATTATTGCAATAAATGCTAAGAGACGTTAACGGAGCGACCTTTTTCGTTTATTTATCGTGCGGTATCAACATAGATACAACGTTTTCTTCTTATCTCACAAATATTTCACGGTTATCAGTTATTTATAATAACAGAAACCAAAACATGTTAAGCTACCAACAGATATGTACTATAAAAGTGGTTATCACTGAGTTAATGTCATATTGAGAAGAATAAATAGCATGCATCGTCCTCTATGCTTCTACTGATAAGAGGATCAAAAGAAAGGTGCATCAAAAGTTTACTGTAAAGAAATTGTCCATGCATATGAAGAAGTGAAGTGAATGTGACGAAGATAGAGGGTAGGAAATATAAAGATGTGATGAGGGTAGAATACGAAACTCCCATTCATTTGTGTAGTTCGATGTTCGACGCAGGTAAATTACTAGACGATTCTATTACATATACATTTTTAAATCTCTTTAAATCTCATCACAGCTGAAAGACCTTTATGAGATTCGTATCTTGTTTGTCGTGATTCTATCTCTTGTAGTCGTTCCACTTGAACAAGAATATATTTTTTATACGTGGTAGAGCCATGCTGCAGTTATATAAGTATTAAAGTTATAGCACGAATGGGTCGGCTCGACCGGGGAAGGACTACTCTCTTACAGAATACCAGCGTTAAATAGCAGCTTATTGCTGCTGTGTTTCGTATGGTGAGTGTAGAGAACCGGAGACCCTTTTTACTGACAACGAGGCATAGCATCTTACTCCTCACGGGTGGGAACACATCTGCATTTTGATTCTTAATCGAGGACAGATTTAGATGTCTATGGGCCACAGCAACCACTTACCATCAGGTGGACTGTGTGCTCGTATGTCACCCTGTCCTTTAAAAAAATATATACCCTACGGTGAAGAAATTATTTTGTTGGTTTGTAATAAAAGTAATTTAGTATATATACAGTAATCCATAATGGCAAGTGGTCGAGCCAAGCGCACGTCGTGGTACCCCTCCCTTGCCTCCACCTTTGGTCGCGCGAGCGCCATTAGGACAGTCAGTACTGATTAGTATGTTTCATCGGACGATCATACGATCTATACGATGCGTCGACAATCGCACGACGCAAATTGGACACTTCACTCGCATCGCATGATCGCACGACCTTCTACAGGACATTCCGCAGATATGAGTATGTTTAAGCGCACGATCGCACGATCATTTTTGTCGGACGCACGCATGATCGCGCGAGCGTTGGCATTAGGACGGCGCCTTATCAGTGATTAAACATCAAGTAAACATTAATCAAAATGCTTAAAGCGATAAAATGTTTTTATTCCTTTATTTATATCGTATTAAATAGCCGATTACTATGTAATGCATGGCTCTAAGTTAACCTCTCTTTACTCTTTTTTACCCAGAAATCAGCATTTAATTTTTTTTATTATTTCTAATATTCAATTTCTAAGATATATTGAAAGACTTAATGAGTTGATCTCGCGTCGCCAACAAATCAACAAACAAGTGTCCCACATCATACCATGTATATTTAGGCTGATGAGGTCGCAAACGAAATACGCCCTTGAAAACCTTTTTAATCGATCGTCTTGCCCACGTCTTGCCATACATGTGATCCTAGTAACAAAGTAAGAACCCATCTACACGTGTTAAGAACACCGTATTGATTCTTTCATAATACTTTATTGGTGTGGATGTGGCGTTTGCTAAAAGAATATGACAAACTTGTTTATTTGGTTTAAAAATTAGAGACGCGGATTGCAAAAAAGGCTTTTAAAAGGGGCATGGCTACCATGGCTGCGTGGGCCACTACGAGTCTATACGAGTCACACTAGGATACGCCTTATCAGAAATAATTATCCTTCACGTTTTTAAACTCATTGAAATGAAATGGAATTAATAAAAGAAATTACTATATGTTAATGTATTAAGCGCCTTGATAGCCATAGCAATTTCTGTGCCGGGAAACGTAATTTATGCGTTTCGTATTCATCATGCTTGCAGATAAGTCTATATTAGGTTTATCAAATTTTGACACAATGACTTTTATGAGTTGCCTCTGATAGTTGCCACTCGATATCTGGATGTCATCTGGATATCTGGATGTCTGGACTCCGCATCTGCCGTCTATTCTGCGCCGACTATACGAGTATGTAAGAAGCGTATAGGTATAGCCTACAAGATTCACACCTCTGTTATATTTCTTTGACGTTTTTTGTGAGATTTAGGCACTCATTCGATTAATATTTCACAGTCTGTTAATTATTTTGCAAATATTTTTTAGGCCGAAGTACGCAGCTAACAACTTTTAGCAATTAACGTGTTTAAGTTCTTCAAAGTTCCATTGCCCGCTGACAGTTTGATTCCACCACTCATTCCCACACCCTGTGGTTGAGGGCATCTGCGAAAATTTTGAACATTATGTGTCACGTTGTATCTGAGACCATAGAATACAATATTATGTATGTATTATAGTATTCTTTGGCTTAGACTAATAAATATGTTCAGCAACTAGCTAATCAAAAGTAGTAGTAGTATCAGTAGTAGCTAGAAGTGTCGAATCCCGGCGGGGCATTTGTCGACTGAGAGGTCAACCAATTGGAACATTTCAAGCCAATTAGATGTAATAAGAAACTTCTTTTTAACCGACTACTTCGACGACGACGACGACGAAACAAACTTTCGAAATTTCTTATTAAACATAATTAGATGCCAACAATTTATATGGTTTTATTTGTCCATTCTATCATCCATTTCTACATCTACATTCCTCATTTTGAATGGGAAAATGATGATATTAATTTTGATGTATCCATAACGCTATAACGTCAGAAATTGGATACATATTAAATGTAGTTTTATATACTATATCTTATATATGTACAGGATATTCTACTATCCTGATAATCTACATCTACATGCTCGTTCTGAATTTCCATCATGCCTTGAAAATGTTTGCGTTGGCGGAGCCACAGAAGCAAAGTTAGTCTCAAATTTAGAATCGCACGTAGGTATTATCGATTTCACGTTCAGATTTAATTTTTCGGAGTGTTTCTTTATGAGGTCAATATAGGTAAGTTTAAGTTAAACGGTGATTCTCACCACCATCCTTCACAGTTAGCTACCGTGGGTAAATCTTTCTTTCAGAGAGTACGAGGGATCTGTGATAGTAAACACCTGGCTGCCGAGCTCCAAAACGTCAAGCAAGTTTTGCATGACAACAACCTTTGGGTCCCGCGCCTACGTCACAGTGAACGAGTGAAGCTGGCCACAGTCAGGCGTGTACCCGCTGTATTGCCATATGTCAGAGGAGTCATGGCCAAGATTGGCTACATCTTGAAGTACGCTTCCATTAAAACATACTTCAAGTTAGCAAAGAAGATTGGTCAGGATGCAACATGCAATTTTGTCTTTTTATTTTGTTTATGTATTGAACGTCGCACACGCCGACGTGATGTTCGTGTCGGTTGCTATCGGGATTCCCGATAACAACCGACCGAACGTTGCCGAGCATTCCCGAATCGGGAATGCTCGGCAACGTTCGGGCCGCCTTCGTGACTGCCCGGGCGTCTTCGGTTTTTCCGGCAGTCTGCATTGAAACGGCCTCAGAGTTAGACCCTCTCTTTGCGCCGCCGGAGTAACGGTTGCCGTTCAAATCGCGTAAATCTATTTTTGGATTGCATATTTTAAATTCTTTTGTACGTTTAATTACTTGTATTTAGTCCTAATTTCTCTTGTTTGGTGCTATAATATCTGTGTTGCAAACCGTCCTTGTGTAAAACGAAAACATTCTATTCTTGGAAGAGTGAAAGGCGTTTCCATCATTGCCCAGCTTAACCTCCTACAACTAATGACCCCCACATGATATGAACACGCAACCTTCTGAGCATCACCCCTCTGGTCGTCACCCCTCCATTTAGTGCCTAAAAAAGGCGAAGGTTGACGACCCTGTGGGGATTCCCGGCGCTCAATGCCCGCACGATACCAGATCGATATCCAGTACGCCATATTGCTGAGTTTTCACACAATCTATTTAATTGTTAGCGACGACAAGTGAATTTAAACATTTAATCTCAATTGTTTCTTATTTGTGATCTAAGCTAAGTGTAAAGACTGATAGCGTTAATACCAAAAAAGTGATTAATTACTTATATTAGCTTCAATTCTTATTTTAAAATTGCGTAACGAAAGTTAGTAACAAAGTCTGTAACGAAAATATGAATCTAATTGCTTATTTAGGTTTAATTAGAATGTTAGAAACAAAATATGAGTTTAGTTACTTATTAGAACTTTTTCTTATTATAATTTTAAAGAGCTGTATTAGAGATATTAACATTTAAGTGTAAATTTAATGATTTGTTTAATTCTTTTTCTTTTATAGTAATTTAAAACGATAATATGTCAGTTAATCACTTTTGTAATCCTACTTCTCATTATAAAATAGAATTTAATTTAAGAAGAAGATAATATATATTCTGTGTAGAGTCTTAAGCATAATATTATCATGATAAGCATTGTGCATCCCGCTGCCTGGCGGCGCTACTTGTATGTTAAGCGGAAAAAGCTTAGCTACTCCGGAGCTAAACCGTAAGAAGACCGCGCCACTATTTTTATTTTTTACAAGCATAAATTAAGAGTTTTATGAATGTTTAATGTTCGAAATAATAAAGATAAGTTATATCTATTGTCAGGAATGTATAAAAATATTGTAAGATATGTTTTACCACACTTATTAAAGAAATTTGTAAATTTCCTTTAGAAAAGGTTGTTCTGCGCTCTGATTGGTCGACGGGGATCATTAGTGCCGTGTGCAAATTCATTAGTGCCGCGTGCAAATTTTATTAATTCTGATTGATCACAGCTACCTATAAAAAAAGAGGCGTTTTTTGTGGTAAAACATTCAAAATCCGGCAATGTAAGAATAAGGAATCAAGAAAATAAATAAGAAGAAACTCTGAAGAAGTGTTATTTATTGC